ATAATGTGTCTAGGTGTGGATCTCTTATGATTTTGCACATTCGGCGTCCTGTAGGCTTCTAGGATTTGGGATTCTGTCTCATTCTTCAATTCTGGGACGTTTTCTCGTATTATTTCACTGAATAGACTTTTTATTATAAAAAAAAAATTCCACCCTGAAGCAGTTAAAATAAGGTTGAAAAGAAAGGTTTAATAAAAAAGCAATGGGATTATTTATATTTGGACAAAAGAGCTTTTGCCATTTTCACTGTGCTAACAAACCTCCAAAAATCTCAATCCAAATGTTTTATACCACACCTTTTTTTTTCTCGTTCACTAGTTCTAGAACATATTGCTCGCTCTACAAGGATGTGGTATTCCTGAATATCACACCAACTTACAATGCCCTAGTCAAAACAATTCTCATGGCCAAGCCCAAAGTCAGCTGGTGGGATCTATTCCTCTCCCCTGGGAAGGGATCTGTAAGAACAGGCCAAGTGTAAAGGGCTGGTGTGTTAGTCAGCTTCCAGTCACTGTGACAAAATACTTGAGAAAATCAACTTAAAGGAAAAGGTTTATTTTGGCTCATGTTTCAAAGGCTTCAGTTCAATGGTTGGCTCTGGTTTCTTTTGGATGCGTTGTGAGTCTGTGCATCACAGTGGGGAGTCTGTGGTGGAACAAATCTGCTCACCTCCTGGCAGCCTGAAAGCAAACAGAGAGAAAGGGGCTGGAGTCCCCATATCTCCTGTAAGGGCACACCCCCAGTGGCAACTGCCTTGGAGGACATGCCCCCAGTGACTTTCCTTACAACTAGTCCCCACCTCCTAAATAGATGTTCCACCACCTCCCAACACTGCCACTGAGGACCACACCTTTGGTGCACTGGCCTCTGGTAAGCAACTGAGAACCAAACCATAACAGTTGGGAAATATTTTAATATAACCAATGACAATTTTTCACCATAAGCCTGGTGGAAACAATCTTGTATGTACACACACACACACACACACACACACACATACAAAAAAAACTCTATGTGATATTTCTAGCTACAATACAAATGTAAATGTTTTGATAGAATGGTTTGAATTTTGGTTTTGTGAACAATTTTTCTGTATGACTTAACACCTACCAATGTTTTCCTTTTAATTTTTTCCTTTCTTCAGAGAATCCGTGACTTAGAAGATAAAACAGACATTCAGAAAAGACAGATAAAGGACTTAGAAGAAAAGGTATGCGTCAAGTTCAATATCTGTTTTATCCTTTATTTATTTAATGAGAGAGTAGTATTGATTTTGCTGCCCGTGTCCTCCCTCTCTCTTCTCAGTTACTGTGGACTTGGCATAGGTAGGTGCAGGTACAGAAAATGTAGGACTCACCTGCAGTTAGGCCCAGGGTTCCAGCAGAGGCTGGGACACCAGTCACCCACCCTTGACATTTTCGCATTGTGTGTTGGTTCTTATTCTTTTCTGTGTTTTCTGTTTTTGTTTCTTGTTTTCATTTCCTTTCCCAAACTTTCTTCTGAATTTCATTACTCCACTCTTTCTTTTGAAAATATTTTTAGCACCTTAAAAAAATCTTTCCAATTATTATTCATTAAAAGCCCTTTCATCCTTGTGCTACAGTTTTACTTCAACCATGAGTTCGGAATCTTAGGCTGACACATGATAACTATGCCTCTTATCACTTTCTCTGAGATCTGAAAAAGAAAATGTTTCTTCCAAGTCAATCAATGTTTGCGGGGAGCAAAACATAGGGATTCTGAAAGAGGTCACTTGGAAATGATTGTGTATTGGGAGAAAGGCTGAGGCTCAGGAAGGGATGCTGTGAGTTTAACAGTCTTACATAGTAAAACCTGTCCTCCCCAAAATACCAAGAGAGTCCCCCGGAGAAATACAAAAAGGACAGCAACGAGGTTTTCTCTAGCATCCCAGTCTTACTGAATGGAAGTAGCTACCTAAAACCCTGTATTTAAAAAGCATATGGCTATTTTTCAGCCTGTTCCATGGACACATAAGAGTAAAATAGCAAACCATCAGCCATTCCTGAGATAATTGTCAAGATTTGATTAATCTCACATTGCTTTTATAGCTATCCTTATTTAGTGAGGTCATGGGGAAGGAGTGGATTGCAGTGGTCAGGCCATCAAGCACCAGATTCTTAAACGGGAGCTTCTTCAGGAGCTCTTTTGACCTTAAGTGAATGACCGCACACCTTATGTCTAAGCTATTCCTAGAAAATAGGAATGCCAACATTTCTACTCACTTCTCATGGGTCCCATGAGTAACAAGGTCACATGTGAAAATTAGGAAATACTAAGAAAATTATCAATCAAATTTAAAAGTATAATTAAAAAGAAATTTATACTCCTAAAGTACACATAAAATTTTAAATACAAATTTCCCTTTTCAAAAGTGGTCTGTATAGTTCTGCAACGGCAGAGGTAAACCAAGAACCATCTTTAATCTCCCAGTGACTAGTAGGAAGACCCACAGAAGGCAGTGTTACTCCCAGCTTCCCTGGGGTCAAAGACACATCTAACATTGTCCATTCATACATTTTCAAGCAGCCAGCCCTTGGCCATGCTTTGCTCATTCATAAACTTGCTGGGTATGGCTAAAGGAGAAAGTTGATATTAAGGCAGTTCTGCCCCCAAAACTTGATGATGCCATTCAGTCCCCATTTAGCTGAGGTTTAGAAAAGTGGGGAGGGAACTATATCTATCAATGTCACCACCCTAGCCCCTCTCTAAATAAATCCCATAGAAATTTTGGGGAAAAAAGAATTAAGATTTTGTTCATTGTAAGAACATAATGTGAAAATGTTCCCAACCCTTTTGCTCAATACATTTCACTTTATTTATGAACTTCCTAAACATTCATTAACTTCCTAACAGGAAATAAGGACTGTAGATATCAAAGCCACATACTGCACATGAGATGGTAAGCTAAGCCACTTCAAAAACATCCCAGTTGTTTCTGATTAGAGAGATGAATGAAAGATGAGATTTATACTGAACCTTCTATTCAGTTGGCCTCACTCTCACATACTCTCCAAAAGGCTAAACAGCATTTATGTCAGAGATACTCTCCATTCTTTCCCTTGGACTATTAGATCACCTACTGAGAGTACTTGGAATCCCTTATTTGAGGCCCATTGCCATGCACACAGTTAGTATAAATCAGGTGATATCAGCACACTTTACAAAATTACCTCAACTATGTCCAAAGCATAGTCCAAAGCATTTCCAAAGTCGTCATCTCATATGATCCTCATAATTACTCTATGAGACAGACACAGCAGATGTTCTGGTCCCTTTTTATGTAGATAATAAAACAATGGATCAAAGAGATTAATAACTTGCCCAAGATTATGTAACTAATCTATGGGAAATCAAGACCAGAAGTCAGGGTGTGTGACTGACTCCAAGTGCCATGATCTGTCCACCATACTGCAGGGACCAAGAATTTCATCACAGATTAAGTGCAGACATCTGCTTATGACCAGAGAAGTAGCTCTGATGTCAGACCTTCTCATAGTAATTGTGGGAAGCCTGCTGTTTCTCTCCATCTCTAGCTTTCCCTGCTGTGGGTGTATCTTCCAGGATTTTTTTTTAATGGATAAAATTTCTGCTTTTCAAAATTATGGAATAGTCACTAATACATGACCATGAGCACCATATTTATAACTTGATTATACAATTTAGCCACAGTGAAGCCAGAACCTTATAAGCAACAACAGTAAAGGGAATATGCAAATAGTATGTACACTATGAGAAGCTCATATCTGACCCTTAATCAAATATGCTGGAACCAACAGGATATTTTCTGTATGGGATAATTGAGCAAAAGACTTATGGACTCAGTAATAAGTACATTACCAAGGAAATCAAAATGTTTTAAAACTCACCTAACCTATGACCTTTTATAATTAGCCTACAGTTGGTTGTACTCCAGTGCCACACAGTCTGTGTTTGTTCATCCAATTATTTGCTTTTCTAGTGAAAGTCCTCAGTAAAGTGAGATAAGTCAGACTTTATTTAATAATCGTGAGTCCATTAAGAAACGGTCTATACGAGAGGCACAATAGTGGGAACATCACACATTCATTATCTAACATGCCCATTGATGCAGGAGCATATTTCATACCAACAGGAGGTGTATACACTATACCCACACATACCCAGGAACTCCCTATTGCCCCAATGTAATTACTAATAACAGCCCATTTCCCTCTTAGAAGTATTCCACTGTGTATAATTGATCATATGTTTACCCTACATATTAATATTCTCTCTGCTGCACCTTGATTCTAAACCTATCCCATCAACCAGACAATGACAGTTTAATGTGTCGTTACATGTATATTCTGATCATATTTTATGTTTTTGAAATATTCTCCCATACATAGAAGATAAAGATACTGTAGGACTCGGGATATCTAGGTTCTAGCCTTCACTGTGGCACAAACTTGTGTGAAATTGAACTATTGATTTATTATACTTGTTTTACACATCTATAAAATTGGAGGCTTAAACCAAATATCTAGAAGACCTCATGCAATTCTAAATTATATGAATCAGCATTAAACTCTGGCATTGCTTTACCAATAGATAAATGAAAGGTGTGAATTTTTGAAACAAAAAGGTACTTGTGCACATGAGAAATGGGAAGACCTGAGCAATGTGGAAATGCTTAGGTTTTGTACTACCTAAATGGCTCTACAGAAATTCAGATTTACATAATCGTCTTCTTTTTCTTCTGCAGTTTCTGTTTCTATTCTTGTTCTTCTCTCTTGCCTTTATTCTATGGCCTTGATGTCAAGGTGCCTCTTAAAGGTAAGATTCCATTTAATTCTCAAAATGTGGTTTTAAGTGCTATCTGATAAGAACGGTGCTGCAAATAGTTATTCTGCTATGTTTTTTAAGAACAAATGCCCTTGGTTTGTTTAGCCAAAAAATGAGAAACATATTCAATCCATTTTGATGACTATTAAAGACATAGAAGGGTTATGAAGTGGGAATTAAGGGTTATTAGTGGGAATTAAGAATTTTTTTCCAGTTATCTATATTGCTTTGAGAAGTCACAGTGCCTTTAGATCATGGTGTTCTCATAGCAATCTCCCATTAAATGGAAAGAGTTGCTTCTGTATCTATAGGGTGAAGAAATAGGACTGTGGCTTTAGTATTTCTTCCAGCTTGAAACTGCCAATTCTGCCAGACATGGTGATACACACCAGTTGAGATTTCAGCAACTCAGGAGGCTGAGACAGGAGGATGGCAAGTTCAAACCCAGCCTCAGAAACTAAGTGAGGCTCTAGGCAACTCAGCGAGACCCTGTCTCATTTTTTTTTAAAGGCTGAGAGTGTGGCTCAATGGTTAAGAAGCACCCCTGGGTTCAGTCCCTAGTCCCCAATACCACCCCCAACTCCTGCAAAAAAAAAAAAAAAAAAAAAAGGAGAGAGAGAGAGAAAGAAAGAACAAAAATGCTGATTTTGAGAATTTAACAATCCAATAATGACTACATATATATATGTGTGTGTATACATGTGTATRTATATGTATGTATATATTATATATGTATATATATAATATATTATATATATATTAGTATTAAATCGACACAATACCTTTATTTATCTTTATGTGGTGCTGAGGTTCAAACCCAGAGCCTCACATATGCTAGGTGAATACTTTATCACTGAGCCATAACCCCAGCCCATGACTACTATTTTTTTTAACCCTTTTCTAGTCCTCTTCATGGAACTTCAATGAAATAGACTATTAAGTGACATTATATCTTGTTTTTAAATAAATTACATTTCAATGTCAATTTAGGAAGAAAAAATGGGACTTGCCATCATCAAGTCCGTATCTCATGAACACATGCATGAGTAATCCTAGCCAGTGATTTCCAATGCTTAAAAATAACAGATTCCAAAGCCCTACTGCAGACTCAATGAATCAGGTCACTGAAAATGGAGTTGAGAAAGAGGGTAAAAAGTGGAAAGCAAGGATTGATCCGCATTTAACCAGTGTAACAGGTGATTCTGCTGTCCAGCCAGGTATGGAAGCCATAAATCTTAATACCATGGTTAAAAAGGAAGAAATTCTAGCTGCTATTCTAGATCCATTTACCATGGTGCATGTCAGCTTTGATTATCCTAAGAAGTTATTACTATATAAAGATCCTTCCTAGGACCCAGGTCATTTAACATTCTTTTCTAACAAGTTGAAAAATGGAAGAGAGGCCCTTTCTTCCTCCATAAGAATCAATTCTGTTACCTGCTTGTGAAGCAAACAAGGAAGAGGGCTTTATAGCATGACCTGATACAAGGAGAGTGAAGCATGTCCTCTTATAGCCACCTCTCTGGCTTTATTTCTTCTTCCAAAAGATTTTCTTTTTAGTCCGACAACTGTCCTTTGGTGAGAAGGGTGAGAGTCTTGCAGTACACAAAGAGGAAGTCTGAGTCTTAAAGTGAAAGATAATACCTAAATAGAAAAAGGGGCAAGGTTCTATAGGAGTGGATAAGTACTAGCTACAAAACCACAAAGTTTCAATATTGATATCAATAATGGCTATGCTGTCATATGCTAGGAGATGTTTCTGAGCATTAGATGCATTTAATTCTCACCAAACCCCCTAGGTGGTGAGTATTGCTTTTATTCCCATTTTACAGTTGCATGTAACTTTCCCAAGACCATAGAGCTGCAATTGGCAGAACTGGAACTTGTATCCAGATAACTCACTCCAGAGTCTAATTTCAACTTCCAAAGGAGAGGGCATTTATGTTCACATGTGTCAGCAGTCAGAAGCATTGTCTACTGTTTCCTTAGTACAACTTAGCTTTTGGCTTTTGAAATTCTGATGTGCTTATCTCTGTATCTCTTTTCTGTTCTGTGTAATTCCTTAAACAATGTGCAAAATTTGATTTGTTTTCTTCCATAGCACATAATTAAAACTCAGTAACTGTTAAATGATGTTATGATGACAAATAATATAATTATTATAATAAAGTAAATGAATGTGATAATGGATCTGATCTGTATAAAATATATGCAAGAAAATGGGTCAGTAGTGTAGAGTATACAGCTTTGAAGTCAATATGTTTGAGTTCTGCCATTGATCAGCTATGTGATGGTAATCAATTTATTATTAGGTTTCCTCTTCCATAAAGTGATTATGTTGTCTGTAGCACGATGTTGAGAGAACTGAATGAGGTTATGCATATAAAACACTTATCACATTGCCTGACAAAGTTAAAAAATCAACAACTCTCAGCTATTATCATTAGAAAGTTAGCTATCAAATTTATTGAATTTGCAAATATAAACACTGGAAATAATAATTTCTAGTATTTCTAGATAGTTTATTGCCTAAATCCAAATACAAAATTGCCTTTTTATCACCTCTTTTTTGGTAAATAATCTGGATTTAATTAATGTAAAGTAGTATGACTTTATAACTGAAAACTGATTAATCTGATTAATGCTACTTATATCTCCAAAGCAGGCAAGAAAGAGATAGGAAGAAGTAAAGAAGAAAAGTGCTTGCATTGTTAGCAGGTCATACAAGTATACTGAAAATAACCATAAAATGGTTTTAATGAATAATAATAAATAACAAATTAATAAATAAATTATTTATCCTCTGCTCAGAAACCCAAGACTAACTTATGTATAAATTTATTCCTTCCTTAAAATGAAGTGACCAATACTTCTTTTCTTTTAGCAATTATCTAAGCCATTGTTTTCAGTGATGATATGGAAGCTACTAAAATCTCCCCAGAAGGCACCTGCACTGCTCTCAGTGCCTGAGAACTGAATAACTCAGATGTCTGGATTACATGAGAATTTTTACCTTAAACAGGTCATTCCAGAGGTATCATCTGTCCAAGCATTCTTTTTATTCCAAAGAGCTAGTGTACCATTGTATCAGTCATATTCTTCCAGAAACAAAAAATGAATAGAATAGAATAGGATAAGTGGGCTCTATTAAGGGAGTTGACTCATATAACTATGGAAGCTAACGCCCATGATGGGTCATCTGTCAGCTGGTGAACTAGAGAAGCCATTTGTGTGGCTCAACACAAATCAGAAGGCCAGAGAACCAAGAAAGCCAATGGTATGAATCTCAGTCCAAGGTCGAAGGTCAGAAAGTCCTACAAGTCCTCAAGTGAAAGTTTCCAAATTGGAAGGCTAAGAAATCCAGAGTTCTAATGTCTAATCCATTCACTCCACCCTCATGGCCTCACACCTCTCATAGGCCCCACATCCCAACACTATTGCATTGAGAAGTAATGCAACCTCATTGTTGATTTTCCAATACATGATTTTGGGGGGACACACTCAAGACATACCAATCACTAACTTTTCCATGTTGGACAGTTACACAGGAGAAAAAGGAAGATAAAAATGAGAGGAGTAGAAAGATACCTGTCTCTGGGTTAGTCATATCGAGGTTGCAGTGAACCAATGGAGAGAGAACCCACTCTTATGAACAGGAATGGATTAGTGAATAGGACAACACCTGACCAGACAACAGGCCATAGTGTCATCTTAGCTACACACCCTGGCCTAGATCATTTCTAATGACACTTCTTCAGTGTCAACCACAAATTATTGAATTTATCAGATTAATATTCTTAGTTTGACACATAAAAAACACTTATAACTATCTTAGTCTTCTGATGTTAAAAAAAACTTTAAATGCTATATTATAAAAATAGCTGCACTACAGTTAAATGGTTACAAATCACCTTAAAATATGCAAATGTCACTTTTTAAAAACATTTATATGTTTCAATCCCCTTGCACCAAATTTACAAGTGGCCCGTGGAAAACAAAGGATCATATGGAATTTCTATTGTATTTGTTGTTTAAAATAGAAGAATTTTGTTTCTTATTGTTTTTACATTAGTAAAATTTATAAGATGAATCACCATATGCCAGTTAATCATTCCTTTCTTTATGTAAATATATCCATTGTCTTTCATCTGGCCATACCAAAATTATTTCCACTTCTGTCTCAGAAATTGGACTCAATAGACATAGAGAAGGATTTCAGCTATATTTGCTTTTGTAATTTCATTAGCTACTACATGCCTGATATATACTAGGTGGTGCATAAAATTGAAGTTGACAGAACAGAAGATGGATGATTGAGTAAATACCTGGGTAAATGAATTTGAAAGCAGATTTGTGACATGTGAGAACAGAGCCATCAATAGTGTAGTACTGTAATAATAAAATAGCATCATGAATTTGTTCTTTATATATCATTGGGAGACTGACTTAAAGAATTCATAAACAAAGCAACTAGATGCATTCTCCCCCTCTGCCACAGCTGGAATAGTCTAACTTGGCTCATTGCTTCTCTATTGATATTCCTAACACAGCAGTGAGAGTGAGGTTTTCAAACCCAAATCTAATTTTACACTTATCCAAGGAAAGCTCCAGTGTTAGAATCAAGTACTGGTTCCCTAATATGTGCAGCAGTGGTCTTACTACAGACAGTTTCTCAGGCTTCCTGTTGCTCCATTTTTCCTTGATGAGCCACACTCCCTCCTGCCTCCAGCAGAATTTGCTCAAACTGTCTAGTGCACAAATACTTTCCCCTACTTCACCCAGTAAACCTTGCTCACTCATTCTTCTGATCTCAGCTCAGAGATGTCACTCTTGATGGCTGTTCTGGCCAAGTTTTACATACAATTTGGATGGATTCACATATACACATATGTATGTGTACATATATGTATGTATGTGTGTATGTATATATATAAATTTGAAAATATGGATATATAATTTTTAATGTCTCTCTCCCTCGTTGTATATAAATATATATCACAAACACCTAGACAGTGCCTAGCACATAGTCAATAATCACTAAATGCTTTTAAAAATAGTAGTAATGATATTATGAAAAAGAAGAAGATATCTTGGTTTATAGTTTTTAATTAATTTAATATCCACTACTTTATTTAATATTCATAACAACCCTGCAAAATAGATTATACTTTACTGTCTTGCTCTGTTTGTACCACAATAACAAAATCCTGAGTTTAAGAAATTAATAAATAGTACAAATTTGTTTCTCCCAGTTCTGGAGGCTGGGCAGTCCAAGATGGAAGCATTGGTAAGTTCAAGGTCTGCTGAGGGCCCACTCCCTGCTTCCAGGGTGGCACCCTGTGGCTGTGTTCACATGGTGGAGGGGACAGGAGGACAGAGGTGGCTGGCTAGCTTCCTCCAGCCTGTTCACAAGGCACTACTACTATCCATGAGAGCATCCATCTCCTAAAGGCCCTGTGGCTTAGGGATTAAGTTTCAACATGGATTTGGAGAGAGCATGAACATTCAAACCATAGTTCTTCCCAATATTAATTTTCTGATATAAAAAAAATTAGCAGTTGTGGGGTATATAGTTCAGTGATGCAGCAAGTTATTAGCATGCGAAAGGCCCTAGGCTCAAAACCCAGCACACACACACACACACACACACCCTGCCAAATTTAGCAAGTAATAGCATCACTATTTTTGTATATAATGGCCAAGTTTTTAAGACATACCAAGCACTCTATCTTGACTCAATCTTGACAAAGCAAAGAATACACAACTAGATGCATTCTCCCCCTCTGCCACAGCTGGAATAGCCTAACTGGGCTCACTGCTTCTCTATTTTTTTTTTTTTTTTTTTTTTTTAGAGAGAGAGAGAGAGAATTTTAATTTTTTTTTTTTTTTTTTAGTTTTTCAGCGGGCACAATATCTTTGTTTGTATGTGGTGCTGAGGATTGAATCCAGGCCGCACGCATGCCAGGCAAGTGCGATACCGCTTGAGCCACATCCCCAGCCCCTCACTGCTTCTCTATTGATACTCCCCACACAGCAGTGAGGGTGAGATTTTTAAACTCAAATCTAATTTTACATTTTACAATGTAAAATTTTACAATTTTAATGCCTTTTTTTTTTTTTTTGAACACTGGGAATTGAACCCAGGGGCGCTTAACCACTGAGCCACATTCCCGGTTCATTTTTATATTTTATTTACAGGCAGGATCTTGCTGAGTTGCCTAGGGCCTCCCTAAATTGCTGAGGCTAACTTTGAACTCGCCATCCTCCTGCATCAGCCTCCCAAGCCACTGGGATTGCAGGCATGCGCCACCATGCTGCCTTATCTCATGCCTTTTAAAATGTGCGTTCCATCTACCTAGACCACATTTCCCACACCAACATCAAACACCATCCATTTGTCCTTCCCATCTCGATGGACAATCAGGGTTGCCTCCATCCCCTGGCTTCAATTAGGCTCCATTCAACATTATTATTTGCTTTTCCCAACAAGATTCTCATCAACCAATTACTTAACAATCCTTAGCGTCAATTTCCTCATCTTTAAATGTACATAATGAAAGCAGTTTCCATTTACTGAAAACACTGTACAATATGATAAATTGAATATGAGTGTTGAAGGAGTGAAAAATGTGACGATGGCTCTTAGGTTTTGCAATGTGTAGCTGATTGGACGATAGAGCCCTTCCACATACTAGAGTCCCAAATCAGAGTGACATGCTGTAGTCATTGACTTCACGTCTGATAGCCTGTTGTAAAGTTTCAGAAATGATAGCTGCAATTGCTGTTTCACAGAGAAGGAAAGTACAGCTCAGCACAATTAAGCAACCTGGGTGACAGAATCCCTATGACCCCTATTGTGATCTGGATAACTGCAGCTATTCAGAAGTTCAGATTTATTCAAATCTGACTTTACTATAAATTTAATAGGTCCTTTTACAGTCTTCCAAATAGTCCTTAGGGTGGAGACTACCTGTCAATGTCAATTTACAGAAATGTAACATTATGGGAGAATTCTTATATGTTCATTGGTTTTTAAAAACAACATGTGTTTGCTCAAATGATAGGTTTTATTTACCTCAATTGTAAAAAAGCAGAAATTACCTTTACAAGCTTTGACACAAAATAGGGTCTAATCTCTATTGAAATATAAATTGAAAATTTGCAAGTAAAAGCCTTTTGTGTTGTATAGTTTTTATGTATACAGATACACAAACAATCATATATCCCTTAAAGGTCTTTTATATGAATGTTTAGATCAGTTCTCTTTTTTTTTTCAACCAGGGAATAAGAGATTATTATATTTGCAATTAGTTGTTTAAGGCTGTCATTACAGTAGTGTGCAAATATGAACTCAGTCTGTTTTCTTAGGTTCTTTCCTATTTCCCTCTTTCTTTCTTTAATTAGATCCCAAGGTGCTTCCCTACCTTTTCAGTCAAAAGTCTTGTCCAGTTTAAAAATTCAGTCTCAGCCTTTGTTTGGCCTCATTTTCTCCGTTATCCTACCTGAGTTATGAGTTGGGTACCCTGTGGAGAGTAGATTCCTGGTTTGCTCTAAGAGGCATGGCTCCACCTTCAAAGTTCTGCCCTTTTCCAGGGAAGGAAAGGGAAAGGCATCCTGCCCCTGGATCAATTCACTGACCTTGTTAACCAGGTCTTGAGGTCTTTCCTCTGAGAGGCAAGAAAGACTGGACATCCTGGGAGATGTGTGAGTTCTTCAGAAGGAGGCATGCCCCTGCAGTAGTCCCACTATTCCACCCAACCTCTTCCACTGCCATTTGGCTCCCATATTATAGTTGGTACATCCCACAGCTCCCAGCTGGGGAGGCAGTCTTTAGTTGAATAGACTAGAAGACAACTACACTATTTCCTCCATCTTTGCCCTGTCATCTCTCTCCAGGTCTTCGCTCAGAAAAACAAGAGAAACAAGTCTGTGTTTGCACCAAAGAAAGCGAGTCTCTTCTTGCACCCAGCCCAAGTCTCATCATGCCTTTTAACACCTTATGCCCCCTCCCTCAGGGTGGCTGTCCCCAGCCACTGCACTCCTTTCCACTACTCCTTCTCTGTAACTTCAACTCTTTCATCCTAATCTAACCCAGTCTTGGGAGCAGAGTGGCTCTATCTACAAATAAAAATCCCAAATATTTCTGACTTGTCCTCCCAGCAGGAAGTTCTATGAATCTTTAATTTGCTAATATATGGTATCCTGAAAGTGTCCTTTGGGTACTAAGTGCCTTCTTTTCCCTCCTTTAGGATCTTGGTCAACATTTCAGGGACAATAATAAAATCTTTCTATTGATTAGTATCTTCATTTTATAGATGAAGAAATTGAGGTCTAGCGGGCTTATATAACTTGTCCTTGGTCAAGCACATGATCGCACATCCTCTGCCATTTCCTGCTTTTATTGGAGAAGAAGTATTAGGTGATATTCTATCCAAGGGAAAACCCAGACGCATGGACCTAAGGAGGAACAGGGTAAAAGTCTTGATTGGTATAGCTCCAGAAAGGCAACTTTTCAGAGACATCTGGGGGCCACCTGGGAAAACCCTGTGGCAGAATCCCAGGTAGTCTTCCAAATAGGGTGGAGACTACCTGTCAATGGCTATAATTATTGGGAGAAAGCATGACATAAAAGCTAGTGGCTTGGGATTCCATCTCTTGGGTCCCCTTCTTCCTCCGGGAGAAGTCTTTTCTGCTGTCCTTTAATAAAGCCTCTACTTTCCACTCTGAAAAAAAAAAAAAAAAAGCTAGTGGCTGAAGGGCATATAGAGAACTGCTTCTAAAATAACCTTAAATTAATGTCAGGGCCATGATGATACAATTGAGTTTTAAGATACCGCCCTGGAAGACTCCAGAGGTAAAGGCAATAAAGATAATAGCTAATATTTCAGGCCACTTACTATGAGACAAGAACCATTAATTACATACATTATTTTGCAACAAACTTTGAAACAAAGACTTTCATTTTCTCATTTAAAATTAAAGTAACTAAGCTTAGAGATGTCATCTAACTTGCACAAAGGCATTCAGCCCAAAGAGATAGTAGAGAAAATATTTTTATCTTTATAAAAACACATTTACACATTTACTTTTTTTTTTTTTTTTTGGTGGGATGGGTGGGGATGCTGGGAATTAAAACAAACTTGCCTTGTGCTAGACATTTTTTTTTCCTCATTCAGCCATTAACAAAAAACGGTGATTAAAGAATTTTTTCCTTTGTTTTACAGAATAACCGAAAACAAGGAACAGACCCCAGAAAGGCAAATGCTTCTAAACCTTCAAAGATGGCAAAATTGTTTACACCAGTGCAAAGGAGATCAAAAGCTAAGAAGTACCCTGTAGCCAAGACTGCAACTTGTACTTTAAAGCCATTATTCAAGGTTTCTTACTTGACAGTTCCTACATGACCCTGTTGAAAATCTACAATATATGCTGCATTTAATGAAACATGTATATGTCAAACCAGAAGAAATGAACTATAAACATATATTGTGTAAAGAAAAAAATCAGCAGTGAAACCAGTTTCAGCAGATCAAGCAAAGATGTGTCTTGGGCATGGAACCAAAGTTACAATGAAACATTCAACCCCTGCTGTGCAGGGGGCTCATTTTAATGTAACACCACACCCCATGGAAATACCAGTCCTCAAAATAAACACAATTTTAAAAAATCAAAACAAAACCAACAACAACAAAAAAATAAGGGTGGGTGGGGAATGAAGCACGAGGAATACCTATGAGGAGCTATTTACAATAAAATGTTTCATTTGAAAAGTCTGGTTTCTTACTACAGGGATTTGCTTTTCTGTCTTTATGATTGTTTTAAACTCAGGAACAGAGACATCTGCAGTGTGAAGGGAAGAAAAGCACTCTCCATTTTTATTTTCTGCAAAAGATGAAGCTGGTGGAATGCATTGACAGATGACAGAAGTGGATCTCAGTGACCCTACCTAAACTGGCAACCAAGTCAAAGGACTCCGGTGAATGTAACATGAGATGTAAATGTGGATTTGATGCTTCTTTATTCTTCTCTCACATCTGCACTCCTTCACCAACAACAGACTGATCTCATTCATATTAAGAAGATGATACTCTAAATTGCAAGCTCCCTGACTTAGTTCTGTTTAGAACACCAACATCCATAGGGAACATGGGCCAGAGAGCACCTCTGAATCCTTCTATTTCCATAATTGCTGGTTTTCAGTTTAAAAATTGCCTGCAATGAATATGCTATATGATTTGGGTTAAAACATCATATAGAGGTGATAAGTAAACTTCTACCAACAGTTGGGTTTACCACCAAAATGTGAATATTAAAATTTCCTGATATACCTAGAGCAATTTGACCTCTTGTCATTTAGAGTGATGACTTTTCTTCCTGGTCAGCTAGCAGCAACAAGATGGCTCTACTTTTCTATAGAGAGGTAACATTATGTTGCTGATAAGGCCATTTTATACCAGAGACAATTAGAAGGCCAGTATTTTTCCTAAGTTATGCATTACTGAGTCTTGGACTCAACTCTGAGAGTAACTACATGTTCCTGAAAAGTTAATTTTACACCTCATTTACTATAGATAACAAGATAACCTCAATTTTTCAAAATGTCAAGGTTTTATTTGTGGGGTTAGAATTCCCACGCATAAAGAATGTGTGTAGGGAGCCAGAAACTCTTTTGACAAAATGCTACACATATCTTTCCATATGTGAGTTCAGCATCTTTATCCTTCAGTTTTAGTGCTAACCTTTTTCAAGCCAGAACAATAACTGAAGAATCTGCAAGAAAATCTAGAACACTGGGGACCCACTTTTTGTCCTTGTATGTACTGCTGACCCAGATGTCTTTGACCCAGTCACTTAACCTCTCTGTGCCTCAGTTTCCTCATCTGAAAAATGGGGTTGAAATGCTTTTTCATGAAATATTTTATTTGCAATTCTGGAACAAGAGGTGCTTAAAGTAGCACAAAGTGCTTTGTAATTATTATAACTGCTGTATTTGACTTGTGTTGTTGAGAAAAAGATTCCCCTGTGTAATAAAATAGTGCTTCAGTTTGGTTAAATCTAAGTTTTGCAGCACTGAAGCATTGCCATCAAGCTACCTGAGACATTATTAGCAATAAAGATTGAGAGATCCCAAATCAGGATCTCTAGCCACCTATAGCAAAGAGTCATCTCATGCTATTGAACAGGACAGAGAGTGTGTCATTTCAATGAAAAGCATCTCCCAGCTCTCATGATTGCATCAAATAAAATTTCACTTTGCTCACATGACATCCAACCATGAAAGGCAGGCTTGGAAAGAATTGACAATATCATCCAATAAGCCTGATTATCGCTTTCATTTGTGGGGAAGGTCAGATGATACGTCCAACTGGGAATGTACAAGCAGAACTATCCTACTAGATTCCTTGCCGTGTGTGTATGTGTGTGTGTGGTGCTGGGGATTGAATCCAATGGGCTTCCTGCATGCCAGTCCAGTGCTTTACCAACTGAGCTTCATGTCCAGGTCATCCTACTGGATTCTTTGATCAACTAGATAGGTTCTAAATTAAATGTGAACCTCGGGTTCACAATGCAGTAAATGTGAAAGAGGGTACTTCTATGATGTCTATCACCTAACCTTAGCAAACCTCATTCAGAAAATATGGAAGAGGACAAATGGCTATCCTGTATCTCAAATCTTTCTCTTCAATTGCTCTGCTCTTACACTCCAGGGCCTATCTGAACAAATCCATACTCCATCTGCTCCACCAAACATACCTTCCTTCTCTTTATTTGGCATTCCCCACCAAGAAACTTGTGGGTTGAAATTTATATCCAATAACTATTTTCTAAATGATTAGAAATGTTTGCAAAACTTGTGTGGCTTCCTCATATGTCCTGTCGGCTTGTCTGCTATTAATTGGATTGTATGGTATTTCCAATTATATGAGAATAACAATGATCACCTAGGAAGCTTTAGATGGGTTTAGGGCAGATGCAAAAGGAGATTTTTTTTTTTTTTTTTTTTTTTTTGCTTAAGACCCAGGACATCAAGCAAATTTGTCTAGATTGTAAGCTAAATGGTGATATTTTTGTTAAGTCATGCTCGTGATCTTCAAAATTAACTTATCAGATAAGTCTAAATATTTTTATTGATACATTTCTCAGTCATCTATTTCCACAATTATAACAGCATCAGGAAAATTGCATATTCATGTTGCAGTCATTCATGGATCCATAGAAATGGACCAATCTAAATGTATGGTTCCCCTTTACATTTGAAGTTCAGCAATAGTAAACAGGATGCTTTGTTAATAATAGGTCTACCTTAGCTCCATTTCTTTAGGAAAGAAAAAAAAAGATAATTTCCATTCTGATATTTAATTTTTTTAATCTGTATTATCCTGACATCTGGCCAATGAGTTAATAAGAATCTGAACAATCAGGGTTCATTTACTTACTTTGTCTTACGAAAATATTTGCACCCTTGGAAAAATACATAAGTATTGAAAATAGTTTGAGATAAATTAAAGACCCAATTTAGCACTGTTATTCAGGACTGAAAAATTTATATGAGAGGGAAGAAATGAAGAGGCAGACTCTAAGTGACTGCCACATTAGAAAACATGTCACTAAATTGTTCTTTCTTCATTTCTTTTTAAATACTACCCATCTTTCAATTTAGGAGACAATAGAATAAGCTGAGAAAATCATATTCCTTTTTACTTATGATTTGCAAATAAAATTATTGCCAATTTTTTTGCCAAACTTTAGGTTTTAGGGGCAGAAGAATTAATTTTACTTTGATTTTTCTTCAGTCCCTAAATAACTGCTCACACAGGTAGTATGGGTCTTCCAAACTCAGAAGGACAGACATGGAGAGGGCAGGGTCACCACTGGGGTAGAAAGGAGGATTGGTTCTCCACTTGTAATTGAAGAAATAAAGTTTGCCAAGGAATTTTTGTTATAGTCTTTTATTTCAAACTATTTGATTTCTTTTTTTCCCCTTTGGTTTTAAATGAACCTCTGGCAAACTTGTTCCTTTCTGCCTATTTCTTTTCCTGTAAATCCATCCTGTAATTTGTATGTTCCTGTCTTCAGTGTAATTCATAAACTCATTATTTTTAAATAATGCATGTCTCTATAGCCTATGTGGGTTTTCATGGAAACTGTAAAAAGAATAGTTATTGGTTGTATGTTGATCTTTGAATTATTGGGCCATCTGTGTGATTTTACATCAAGATAGATGGACAGTGCAGACATTTTATTTTTTAAATATTTAATTGCATCCTTTTGATCTGTCAGAGTGGTGCAGAATATATACAAATATACACACACACAATAGAATAAAAATGGCTATGTTGTTTGGGGGTTACATTTCTTATTGTCCTTTGTGAAATTTTCATAACAAAGTTCTGGTAGTTTAATAATAGCTTTTATTAGTTTAATTCATCACTTTAATAGTTTAAATTCATCTACCATATTTAGAAAGCTCAATACAACTTTTGAAAGATGAGTAATCAAAACAAATCTTAGACTGTATGTCTTGAATGAGTGCTTCCAGGAGAGACCCAAGTCCCTCTTTAAGTGGACTTCTGTATTCTGGAGGGAAAAACATTAGGTCACAATTCTTAAGAGAGGAAGCTTCCTTTATGTCCAACTGCCTCATTTTTTTCTGTATAATATTCTGTCTCAAGACTGAATTTCAGTCATATTGGCAAGAGGATTCAGCCCAACAGAAAGTTGGTGTTGATCCTTATAAAGCCTCTTCAACTGCCAAATTCTGTGATTCCATTTCAGAATTGGGAAGCTCACATTCCTTTGCTATCTTTAGTTTGACAGTTTTTCCTTCTAAATGTATTGTTGACAGTCCAAGTTCAATGCTTAATCGGAATTACTGAAGTTAGACTTAAAGGGGAAATGTGGCAAAAAAAAAATAGGATTATGATTTACTATATTTAACCTAAATCAATTTAGTGAGGCTTCCTGTTCTTGCTTATTTGCTCTGAGGTCTTTACACCCATGCTTATTTTTTCTGCTTCGTTATAGGCAAAGTTCTATAGGGTGAGAGTATCATAGACAAGTTTGAGTCCCATTTTGCCTATAATGAAGACTCCACAAACTTGCTAAAGAGTGAATGATGCGATTTCCCAACAACAACAACAACAACAACAAAAAAAACAAATTGAAGTATCCATTAATAATGCAATCATTTATTTTAACAGACATCTCACAAAATGTGCCTATTCCCCAAATTAACCACAGCACCTTCCCACAAGGCAGATCAAAATCTAAGCATTTTATAAATATGTGATGTACATATATGCACATATATATTCTGTACATAGTGTGATGGAGTGAGCACTTACCAGGTGTGTGCTTTTGTTCTAGGATGGAAGAGGCAATTCATGTCTGTTTAGCATCTACTGTCTGTTCATTCCGCCCTTGCCTGCCTCTTCTTTCTGCTCCCCCATCTTCTGTTCATTCTACTATTTTCTATTATTGACTATAACAGAGACTATTCACTGAATTTTCAATTATCCAGACCCATAAACCAGCAATTCTTTTCTTTCTTTTTTTTTTTTTTTTTTTTTTTTTGGAATAGCAACAAAACACCCAGCACAATATTCAGTATTACTATCAGCCAAAGGTCCCATATCTTTCTAAACTAAAAATCCCATTCCAAGCAGGGTTTATGCATGATTTAATCTTTAATATTCAGTTCTCTGAGGACTCAAGTATTGAGCTAATCTGAAGACATGATTCCTCAGATTTCTATTGTATTACTGTAGCCAGAGGGCCAATTTCCCAAAGCTTCCCCGCAATTGGTTGCATCAATTAGGGTTCTTTCCATCTCATTAGCACGACTCCATATACTGCTTCAGTGCTTGTTTATTAATGAAAGAAAGATATAATTTGCCTCAGTTTCTCAAGAACAGTCCTGTGAAGTACACTGGACATGTACATGTACTGTATGTATTACCGTAGAGATTGGAAACAATTTATTGTATGTAAAGTTTTATGAATTGGTTATTTTATAATTTATGTATTTAATATAGGAATCAATGAACTCTGGTGTTTTAGTTTCTATAAAAATAAAACAAGCTGCATTTTTTAAAACATGATCTTGTATTGTTTGTAAGTGGCTGATGTGACTTTTTTGTTTTAATTTTTCTTAACTGAACACTATTTTGGAAAAACTGGGTGAAAAATAGTCACAAAGACCAATGGAATAGAACAGAAGACACAGGGGCAAACCAGACATTTCACAAGGATGCCAAAAATATATCTTGGAGAAAAGATAATCTTTCTAATAAATGGTGCTTGGAAAACTGAATAGCTATTTGTAGAAAAGTGAAATTAGACCCTATCTTTCACCCTGCACAAATCTCAAACAGAAATGAATCAAAGACTTCACAATTAGATCAGAAACTCTACAAATGCTAGAAGAAAACATAGGCTAAACTCTCCAGAATGTAGGTGCTGGTACAGACTTCCTTAAGACCCCCAAAGGACAAAAAATAAAACCAATAATAAGTGGGATGATATTAAACAAAGAAGCTTCTGTACAACTAAGGAAATGATGAAGGGTGTGAAAAGAGCCTACAGAATGGGGGAAAATCTTAGCCACCTACTTCTCTGATAGGGGATCAATATCCTGAAAATACAAATAACTCATGAAACTTTGCAACAACAAAAAAAAATAACCCAATCAATAAATGAACAAAAGAACTAAACAGAGGAAACACAAACGGCCAATAAATCCATGAAAAAATGTTCAACATCTCTAGCAATCAGCGAAATGCAAGTCAAAACTACAATAATATCTGGGGTTGTGTCTCAGTGGTAGAGTGCTTGCCTGGCACGTGTGTGGCACTGGGTTGGATTCCCAGCAGCACGTATAAATAAATAAATTAAATAAAGGTTCATCAGCAACTAAATATATTTTAAAAAAGAAAAACCACATAAAGATTTCATATCACTCCAGACAGAATGACAATAAATCAAGAATACAAACAACAGTAGATGCTCACTAAGTTGTAGGGAGAAAGGAACAATTGTACATGGTTGGTGGAACTGCAGACTAGTACAACCACTCTGGAAAGCAATTTGGAAATTCTTCAAAAAACTAGGGACAAGCCACCATATAACCCAACTATCCCACTCCTAGATATTTTCCCAAAATAACTAAAGTTGGCATACTACAACAATTTAGCCACATCAATGTTTATAGCAGCATAATTTACAATAGCTAAATCATGAAAGCAACCCAGATGCCCATCAATAGATGAATGGATTAAGAAACTGTGATACACACACACCCACACACAATGGTGTTCTACTCAGCCACACACACACACACACACACACACACACACACAAAGAAACGGAAAAGAAAAAGAAAGAAATTATGGCATTTGCTGATAA